ACGGCGCTCTCTGGCTTCCCTCAGGTTGAGCGCTCCCCTGGATGAAACACGCTGCCCTACCTCAGCCGGACTTGCTGTTTCCGGCCGCCGCTGCACAGTTCCTGCGGCCTGTCAGGGCCTTGTAGATGAGGTCGGCCCCACACCCAAATGTTGTGGCCCCCGGAGTCTAACCGTGAAAAATCTAGGGTGTCGCACACCCCAATTTTACACCTGGAAAGATTAGGACAAACAAACCCGAAGAGCTCAGAACGCACGGTACGCGGAGCTCAATCCGGGAGAAGCTCACCCGCGACCCGGCGAGCGGAGGGCTCCGTGGGTTCCGAGCAGGCCCGGGATCCTCAGCACCGGACCTCGGTACCATCCTGTCGCCACGACTTTCAACGGACAAAACAAGAACAATTGAGTTAACATTGCGATGGCCTCCACCCTGGAGAAACAAGCCTTGGACTGCGGGAGCCGGACTCCCAGGCAGCCCAGGCCGAGGGTCGCTGGCGGGGGCCGCAGGGTTGGCAGGCGGACGGCCGGCCGGCCGCGAGGCGCTGCTGCGGGGGCCGGGGGAAGGCCTGCAGCCGAGCGGGAGGGCCGTGCCTGACACACAGCAGGTGCCCAGGACAGGTGTTTCCCCTCAGTCCAGGCTGCCTCAGGGCAGGCTTAGACTGATTACGCGAGCCTCCATTTTGTGGGCCCCTACGTACGGATTGAGAGCTAGTTGGTATAAACAGGCTTTAGATTATCTTTCTAAACTGTCCCAAAGCAGAATACTATCGGAGCGCCTTCTTCCTTTGTAGAAATTAAAGCTTTTATCAGCTGAACTTTATATACTAAAAAAAACTAGCCAAAACAATGGTTCTCATTTTTGGTGGCCTCTGAAATTTTAAACTTTTTTTTTTAATGTATTTTTAGGTTTTACTAGATTCTTTGGCACCTAGGGAGGCCCCAGTCTCCCTCTCATTTTAATTTAATTGGTTTCTGTGGAAACCTTTGAGCCGCAGATGTCTTTTTGTTGTTTTTTTGAAGCTCCAGAGGTTATTCCAATGTGTTTGTGATTCGCTGGTACAAAGGTGAGGGAGGGGAGTGGAATCTAAACGCGTGTTCAAAATGCCTAAGATTAAGTATTGAAATATAAAGCGGGATCATTAAATGAGATGTTTGCGACCTTGCTGGGTACGAATCACAGGCAAGTGCTCATGGAGGACACTGAGTAGAAAATGAATTTTCCTCCAGCCCAGGATTACGCTTTTGGCCTCTGTAAATGCAGAACCTCTTAGACCTGGTAACACAGCCCTGCCAGCCGTGAGGACCGGACGGCCAGGTGCGGTTGCGCGGAGGGGCACCTGAGAAGGGAATCCAGCCCTGGGTCTCTACCCAAACCCTGAGGCGGCCTCCGCCTTGAAGCTCTTGCCCAGGTACAAGTAGAAGCCCTGACAAGCGGCCCCCTCCTCTCCCAAATTTAGGGCGTGCACTGGGAGGGCAAATACGGCGTGTGAAATAAAGAGGCTTAATCCTCCGCTGTGAAAAATAAGGGAAGGGATTTTCCTCCCTCCTCTTTTGTCAGAATATTTACCTTAGAAAACTTGTAAATACAAGTATTTTCTCAGCCTCTTGGAAATGTGTCTTTTTAGAAACTGAATAAGCCTCTGTCAGCTTTGTGACTTAGGAATGTCTTTCTCAAAGACCTGGCAGCCACCTCTCTGAAAAGCAGCAGGAAGGAGCACCACGTCCCCCAGTTTCTGTGGGGGCAACGGTGCCATCAGGTTCTCTTAGTTAAACAGCTCGTTGTTGTTTATCTTGGGACCAGTAGGCAATGGGTTGCATCCCTTGGCTATAGAAAAGGTTGAGACTTCTGTTTTTGCCATCACTGTCTTGGCCAACTGCCTGCGATAAGCATTATATTTCTGGTTTAATGCTTAGTTGATAATAAACGTGTTTTCTTTCCCCAAATCTCTGAGCTGAGAGATCTGGGTTTAAAAAATTTATATTTCCCCAGGAGCAACTTCACCCTTTATTCTAAAGTTACTGTCTTTGTTACTCATGCCTTCCAAGTCTGTGGGGAGAAGTACTTAAGGTACATTAAGGAGGTTTTTGTTATAAACCTCCTCTCTTCTACCCAGCTTCTAACACAGAATTTAGAGTAATTTGAAATAGTGATGTTATCAAAAATTGAGGTTATGATTGTACTTTTTCTGCTTGTGGTTGAGTAATTACATACCCATCTGTTATGTTGAATGAGAAGTACGAGTTAATGATTCCCATTTGTTTAACAGAAAAAATAAAAAGAAGAGAGTTGTTTGCTTTTTAATTTTGTGTACACATTTTTGACAGGTAGAAATTAATTTTTTTATAATACAATCTGTTCATCTTTATGTGATCTCCTTCATTACTGTTCTTTTTAAAAAATTTATCCAAGTGGCCCTGGCTGGGTGGCTCAGTTGGTTGGAGCATCGTCCCAACATGCTCAGGTTGTGGATTCACTCCCCAGTCAGGGCACATACGACAATTAACCAATGAATGCATAGATAAGTGGAACAACAAATCCATGTTTCCTTTCTCTCTCTCTTTCAAATCAATAAATAAAAATTTTAAAAAATTATCAAAGTAATACATGTACATAGTTTTTTAAAGGACAAATAATTCTACATAGCTTATAGTGAAAAACAGCAGGGCCTTGGCTTATCCACCAGTGTCTCACACCCAGGACCTGCTCAGAGAGATACAACACGAGGGATGGCACAGGCCAGGGAGCTGTGACAGAGGTTTTACCTGACACAATTGTGGCTGCCTGTTGAATGGCCTGTGTGAGGCTTTTGCTTCTGCGTCTGGGGCTGGGGCCTAAACTCAGCAAGGTAGGCAGCCTGGAAAGGAAGAGACTTGAAGTGGAGGAGGAGGACAAACTTGAACGTGCATCAGTCTCTCGCCCTTGGATGACTCAGGTGCCCTTCAGCAGAGCTGAATGTGCTCCTGGCCCAGGGGCTGATGAGGCTGAAATGTAGCATCTGAGCTCTTTCCTAGAATCACTAATATATGAAATTAACTAAATCCCTGAATTTATTTCCTTGACATGTCATCTATCTCCCTTGCAAGGGTTTAAAAACTATTTATTAAATGTCCTGTATACTTATGGTGATTCCTTGCCACAGTTGGGCAGTCTGAAAGCAAATATGTGTCTCTTTATGTACGCTCATTGTAGAAAAGTTGGAAAATACCTAAACGTGTAAGGAAAAATGCACATAAATGCGCTCCGACTCACTTAGGTATCCCCCCGTTTGTCATTCAGGTTCCTTCTTGTTTCTCCCTAGAGCTGACCTCTTAGCTTATAGTTTTTGGGATTGTAGGAGATACATCCTCCTACACAAGGTATGGTTTACATATCTGGTATGAAGTAAAAAACGCAGTTCCTAAAATGTGCCCAGGGTAGCAAAACAAAATCCACAAAATGCCCCTCTTATTTCTGGTCCGTGACAGAACATTGTTCTGAGTTACGTGTACTATATCTATGAATTTAGGTACACACACACACATACGTATGTAAAATAATTATATATTTTTTTATTCCAGTGTCCTTATGATTTCACCTACTTATGGCTGAAATGCAATTGCAATTCAAACTTCTCCATGAAAAACTTAGTTCTGGAAAAGCCTTTCACAGCCTAGAACATGAGTGACTTGGGATAATTTGTTTTTAGCTACTCATAAGATTTATTTGTGTAAGAGAAATGGTTAAAGGGCATCTTTAAAACATGGTGTTAAAACAATCTAACCTAATCTAGAATAATTTGAAATTCTACTTGAGTTGTCTGTTTACAAGAGAATTTGAAGTTTAAGCCAAAGTTAGTATGAACTAGCATTAATTAAAATACTGACAGGCATCTTAAGAGGATCTAACTTAAACTCTACACTAAGCAGCTACCATAAGCCAGGACCTGGGTTAGGAGCAGTGGGAGTTACAAAGGCAAGGAAATAAAACACACCACTCTGCCCTCCAGGAAACACAGGGGCGGGGGTGGGGCTAACAGAAGCAGAAACAAATGCAATAGCAATAAAATAGAGATTGATTTCAAGGAGCCATGGGAATCCAGAAAGGTCTCATGGAGAGATATAATTTGAGGGCCTTAAGCAAGCCACAACAGTTAAAAACAAGGACATAAAAAAAAGTTTTGGATGGTATCTGTTTCTGAAAAAAAAAACAAAACAAAGAAACAGTTCAGCAGGTTGATGAGTAAATTCTAACTCACTCATCTACAGAAAGAGCAAGATGCCAGATGAGTCCTCAGGCCTATTTGTGGAGTTGGAGAAAACAGTATGAACAAGAACTGAGAGCCAGGAAAATGAGAAGGAAATCAGGGGGAAATATTTCAATTGTGGTAAGAAGCGGGAGACAAGGCGGGAATAAAGATAGACTAGGCAGGACTTTGACAACAGGAAAAAAGGTACAAATCTACCCTGTAAACTGCGGGAGCCACTGGTATTTATGGAGGAAGAAAGTGAAAACTCAATCTATTTTAAAAGATGTTACACAAGTATCTACCAATTTATAAACAAATGGTCAGTATATGCTCTGGTTTTAAAATATTTCCTCATTTCAGACCCTGGCCAGGTAGCAGTTGGTTAGAGCGTCATCCCAATACACCAAGGTTGCAGGTTCGATCCCTGGTCAGAGTATATACAGGAATGAACCAGTGAATGCGCAAATAAGTGGGACAACAACTCAGTGTTTCTCTTTCTTCCTTCTTCTCACTCCCTCAAATCAATAAAATAAAAAAATTTCTTCATTTTAATAAATATCTTACATTAAGTGTTCATTTTATCCATCAGCTTTCTTTGACTTTCCTAAAATCTATTACATGCTGATGATGACACTGTCACTCCGATTTATGAATTCTACAACACTGCTGTTTTCTATTTACACCATTTTTTGGACAGAAGGCCCTATTTAAACATTTAAATGAAATAAATCCAAAGTAAATACACTGTGAAAAAATATATTTTAATACATTGTGGAAAATACATTTTAATACATTTAAAATACATTGATTATTAGCATTTAGTTATTTACAATGGTATTTACAATTTTACTATTTTTTTTGTGAACAGAAAGATAACTATACAAAGAGCTGACCATAGACACAGAGCTATCTACAGCTGTTCCCTTCCAGCTCACAAACCGTAACTGTGCAGAAAAGGGTAACAGTTAGTTAAAGGGGCTACAGCCTAAAATCATTATGATTAAATTAGATTCTGACAAATTCTCCTGGGTTAAAAAAATGCTGGTTAAGCCAGAAGAGGAGGCAAGTGTGGACAATCTCCACCTCTTCCCATCTCATACTGTTGCTCCCTACCTTGACTGACCTGAACTTGAATTCTGGGAAATTTCATATATGACAGGCCTTCTAAGTCCAAGGCATTATTTTAAGCCTATTATTATGAGTTCATAGCAGGTGGCTTAACTTTAGGGTAGTCTTTTCTTAAGCTATCAACGCTAATGAACTATTAAACCTTTATTTTTAATTACAAAAAAAATTAATTTATTTTTCAATTATACCTGACCTATTCATTTTTATGACCATCCAATGGTTGTTCTAATGGTAGTCCAAAAACGACCAAGTGAGATGCCTGAATTTTACATGTTTCCTGTATGCTCTTAGTGAAGTTAACTGTCTGCACTATAAAATTTTACAGTTAGACTGAAAGCCTCATTCTGACTGAGAGGGTAAGTGAGAACATTAAGATCAACAAAAAGATTCTGAATCCCTGTTTGCTACAGAAGAATCAGATGAAAGTTTTAAAAGGAAAGTCCTGGGCTAATACAATTATCCACCAATCACTTTCCTTCAGGTTAAAGCAGCCAACAGCCTGCCATAGCATTTTCTAGATGAGAAAATAAAGTTTGTGTAACTTTGGGATAGCTACTGTTGGTCATAGCTATGTATTATTTGGTTCGGTCCTTGATCAGAAATCCAAACCTTAATTCATATTTTGTTCTTATAGAAAAAAACCAATCCATTTTATGGGTTTCTAGAAATAAATTATGGATAAAAATAGACACTATGTTCCTAAGGGTTTCCCTGGGAAGATACACATACAGAATGTAATATTTAAGTTCAAAATATAATTAATTCTTTTCTGTCCTTTTTAGCTTTCCAAGTGACTAGTAATAAATAAGCTAATGATTCCTGGGTAGCAGGGGAAAACTTTTTAGTCATTTTTCCATCTATGAATTTCATTAAACAAACACATGGCATATCTTATAGTAATATAAATAGATGATAACTGGAAATCCAGTTTTACTTTTTAAACTACAAATGATTGGTAACTGTTTCCTTAATAGTTATGGCAGGAGTAGGTCCAACATGAGTCCATATATAGCCCTTCTCTGGTCTGGTGGGAACTGTGGGAAATGGTGATGAACGTGACTTGAAATATTCAGAGGGTGCATGACAAACAAATTCCAAGTATTCCATCTTCCTTGGAAGATCCTCCTCTGGCCCTAAAGGCAGCCAATGGAAAGGTTAAACACATTTTTGAACACATACATCATCATAAAACGTTAAAATGCCTAGACACTAGGAGGAACACTCTGGTGGTGACTTGACATTAGCCCCTGGATCATGTGTTACTCTGAAGTTACTCTAACATTTTTTCTACTTTACCTGCTTAAGGAATATAGCATTCTCCCCAAAACACTGGCTCAATATAGAAAGGAATCTAAAAGGAGTGTTTAGCCTTATAAAATGTTTATTAGATGTCCACACTGTTCTTGGTTCTGTACATATATCAATACTTTGAATCCTCAAAAAGCCCTCTGAGGAAGGCACTGTTATTCCCATTTTACACATGAGGAAAATGAGGCAAGAAAGATTAAGGAAGCTGCCCAATATCACACAGCTAGGAAGTGGATGGGCTACGAGCTCAGACGGTCTGGCTGCAGGGTCTGAGCCCAGGAAGCCGAGGCTTAGGAGGAGGAGCGGGAGCAGCGCCCCAGCGGTGGCCCCGCCACACCACTGCCTCTGCTGAGGGTCCTGTCCGGCAGGTCAGGTGGCTGCCAGTCCACCTGCTTGTGTACTTACAAGCAGAGACTAAAACTGGCCAGGTATTGAACCTGACATGCAAGAGAGAATAATAGTGGACTGTTATTTGTTCCTGAGTTCTCGCTGAAAAAAATTTTATGTTTTATTCTCAAGATGCAAAAGTAACACATGCTCATTGCAGAAAGGTTAAAAAGTTCAGAGTAATTTAAAAACTCTGAATACTTTCAGAACTGAATTACTTAGTAACTTCTTGTGAGTCTACATGAAGGGCTGTTTATACCATCTCTTTTGTCATCACTGAACTTAGTAAGAGTACAGTGGCTGCCATTTCAAAAATCAACAATGATTTGTTATAAAAGGTCTAGAATGATATGTGTGATATGTAGAAGGATGCATATTGAAAACATCTAAGATTCTAGAAATAAGCATGATAGTTTCTTCAGAAATTATTTTTGAGTGGATTTTTATAAGTAACCTAAATAACCTAATTCCTGAGCAATGAATTCTTTTAATAGTTTAATCCTGGGTCACTCAAAAAAATCTTATTCACATCACTTTTTAATAAGTGCATACCTCCCTAACTCTAAATAACTGAAAGCACTCAAATCCTGATTTATGAAATGCCTTTCATGTTTTCTATAAAGCTTTTTACTTTATTGTATTTAATGATACTTATGCTCCTTTGTTATGGACTGAATTGCATCCCTCCCATATTCATATGTTGAAGCCCTAACCCTCAATGTGATGGTATTTGGAGAAAGGGACTTTAGGGAGGTAATTAAGGTTAAATGAGGTCCTGTGGGTGGGACCCTAATCTGCTAGGCTTAGTGTTTTTATGAAAGACTGAAGAGCAGTGTGCACACTGAGAAGGTGGGGGTCCACAAGTCAGGAAGAAAGCTCCACCAGGAACCAACCCGGAGAGCACCTTCATCTTGATCTTCCAGCCTCCAGAGCGGTGGGAAAATAAATACAGCATTCTGCCGTTTAAGCCATTCAACCTGTGGTATTTTGTTACGGCAGTCCAAGCAGGCTAATGCATTCTTATACAAGGAAACAGACTTCACTGGGTTCAAGAACCTGTACCATTTGTCAAACTCACCTATGATGTAGGATGCAGGATCAAATTGGTCCCTGGGACTGGAAAGAGTGGGAATGAGCCACGTCAGTGCTGCACTCTTCTCACAGTACTGGTCCTGGATGAAACCCCTGATCTGAGCATAGTAGGGTTTTCCATCTTGCTCATCAATCACAGAAACAACATCTCCAATTTGGTAATATACTCCCTGGTGGGGAGAGAAGATAATCCCATATTTAAAAAAATAGAACAGCACCACAGCTATGAACTGAAACTTCCTTAATGTAAAAGTAAGAGTTTTCAAAGTGGTTAATAAAAGTTCGCTGAAATGCACTAATGTACCAATGTTTATATGGTTGATGCTAATTCTAAAGTTGTTTCACTTTTGAGTAAAAAAATTTCACACACACACAACTTTCCTCTGGAGAGAACATGTGTCTATAAATATACTTTGATTTTCTATGCTGGGTAGAGCCACTGAGCTGCAGGAAGGTTAAGTGGCTTGCTGAAAGCCACATAAGGCAGAGCTGCGGCTGATGTTCCCACACCAGCTGGGCAGTCTGTCTCTGTGCTGGCTTGAAAATCAGTGCTTACCTGGTGAAAATATACTCTCTATACCTTCCTCCTCAACCATCAATGAAGGGAAAGAGATACTATAAATTCAAACCAAAGGAATGATAGAAACTTTATTATCATCAGTCTTTAGGATAGGGTTGCCCTTAATTTACCATACTTGTTCCCAGACTCACTGGCACCTGTCTCTTCCCTTCCTGTTCACTGGTATTTCTGGCATTCATACCACACACGGTACTTCATATCCAACTAACTAACCTGTGCATATCTTGTTTAGGCCTCTGCCATCTACCCTTATACTCGTCCCTGGGTCTTGAACTGGAAACGATCTCTCATTTGAACATCCATAATCGCTGGTCCAAATATTTATGACACTCAGCACTTCCTTAGGTGTGTGGAGATCTCAGTAGACCACACTCTCCTTGACTGCAGGAACCCGTCTGCAGGTGTGATTCATTGCTGCTTCTCTAAAACAGGGCCCTGGCAGCAAGTAAAGCTGCTGGGGTGTACACCTCAACCATAAAAATGATTCTGAGAAAATTCTTCCAGTAACTGAGCTATGACATGAGCACCTGATGGACCTGGAGCTTCTGCTAGACCTTTTATCCATGGATACAAAGATGACTGTTGCTCATGAAGGGTAGTCTTTATGGACGGATAGTCAATGTGGGTCTTTATGGACGGATAGTCAATGTGGGCCACAATCCACTACTTGCTAGTTCATGGGCAGATGGTAGACTGAATAATTAATGATACTTGATACAACAGGTCTCATGTGCTTTCCATTAAGATACACCTAAAAATCATTAGTACACTAAGTTCTTAGCTTAATCAGCTGTGAAAATAATGCACAGATTTGAAAATGTGATGATGGTAATTTTTACTATTTGCTGAGTGCTTACTCTGTAAGGTCTCATTAATGATCTCACTTGACCCAATGAGGTAGTTTTTATTTACAATCCCTATTTTATAGATGAGGAAACATTAGAGAGGTTGGTCCTAACCCAGTCACACAACCACTTGCTCATGCAGTAGAGCCAGGAGCTGAGCTCTGAACTTGGGCTCTGGCATTAGGTAGCCTCACTCCATGACTTATTGGCTATGTGACTCCATGTCCTCATCCACAAAATGGGGATAATAGGACCTACTTCACGGACTGGGTTGAAAGAAACAAAGCATGTGAAATGCTCACCTCAGTGCCTGATAAATAGCAAGCACACACTGAACTTTAGCTATGTATTATTAACTATGTAGGAAATGCTGGACATATAGGAGGGGTGTTTGCCTGTGTACAGACTTTTTTAGGCTGCACGGATTCTGGGCTAACAAAAAGAGTTAGACTCAAGAGGTATAATTGCTTGTGTTTCCCAGCTTTCAGTGCACTTAGGTCAAGTATAAAACACTAACCCTGGCCACTGCCCCTAAGTGACAGCACTTAATGGTTACTGCCTGTACCAGGCCTGCTAAGTCTTACAGGTTTTTTAAATGTCCTAATGCTTTCCTAGTTTTCTGGTTCAAAATAATGAAACGTCACCTCTCACTGATGTATCGAATGTCCATGGGCTTTAGTCCTAGGAAACCTGACCTTCTGCTTCATGAAAACATCTTGGCCTCTCTTTCCCACCGCGGACTTCCAGCAGGTGCTAATCCCCACTGCCCTTACCCTCTCACTCTGCTTTAAGGCACTTTTGAATTTCTGTGCCCACTCAACCCACTAGACATCCTCTACTAGTCTAAACCCTGCCACTGTCCTTCCCACTTTCAAAGTCATCACATTAACTAGGCTGGCTCACTCTTGCCCAGCTCCATACCACATGTTAATATGTTAAAAACAATTCCCATAAGCTACATTAAAAAAATTCTTAAGGTCCTCATAACATATTTCGATAGATAACTTCCCCTCCCACCTCAGCTCTGGATGAGATGTTTTATAATAGCTAATTCTGGGAGAAATCGCTTAGAAAAAAACAAGAACCACAATAACACTTTGTTACAGAGTAGCAGACCTTCACACTAACCCAGCATTCAAGTAGCACATTATAAAATAGGCCCAAATCTTCCTTCAGTAACACTATAGATGTTTACCTTGTAGAAGATTGATTCTGCAGTGATGATGGTAGAAACGGACTCAGGAGCTTTGATGGGCTATGAAAAAAAAAGAAACGAAAAATATTAGCACGTTCATATTGTGTATGTGTCTGAACAGGCATTTTTCCAGTCACATACGAGTTCTGTAATTTGAGAAATACTAAATTTGTTGTTTGGTGACAAAAACTATAATAAAAAGATAAATGATTTTCTGAATGTTGTGGCTAAGCACAATGTGAATATTCCCACTGCTATTTCTGCTACTATTAGCTTAACAACTGCTGGGAACAAGAGCACAAGCTTTTGACTACCCTTCTGAGAACTAACCCAAGCCCTCTTAGAACTTTGTTACACATTAACATTTTAGGTATAAAAATAAACTGCCTCTATTGGCCTGGGCATGACAGAAGTGGAAGTAATAAAAAATGGGTAGATGAACACAAAGTGAAAAAGTGTTTTTCCCTTGATGAACTTTTCCATCTCACTCTACCTATGGAACCAGCTATGATACTTGATGTCATCGGAACTAATATTTAACAAGCCTGAACTAAGACTAAAAGAAACTTCCTTGGAAGTTCTCCGTAATGTGCCACCACCCACCAATCATTAAAATCCATTCTTATGCTGAAAAACATACTTTTATGTAACAACAGAGAAAACAGGCCTTCCCAAATATGTCTTGGTATCATCCTTAAAAAGACTGCTTGAGATACTGATATTGAAATACCTGCAAAGAACATATTCTACCATACTTAAGAGGAAAACATGTTTAAGTGATAAAATTATAATCAAATGAATATTTACTCAACATGTTTTATCTAAACAACAAATGCCTAATTTTTAGAAAACTAAATTATAAAAATCTTAAACCAATTAGGGACAACTACTCTCAATAAGAAAATAATCCACAATCTGCTCCCCTTTTGTGTTTTATGAATGAACATTCCCAACTTCAGAAATGTCTTTACTGGTTAAGTCAACCATTCCTGTTCTGAAAAGGAAAGGAATACTATACCGAGGTTTTGAAAAACTGTCCATTGTGTTTGACCATGTTTCCTTGAATTAACAAAGATAATGAGAACTTACTGCACTAAAAATGTGTTTTCAAATATCCCTACCACAAAGCTTTCAACAACCTATTTTCTTACAGCAGAAGTGATAAAGGTTTAGCAAAATTTTAATTCTTATTCATCAAATTGATCTTAAGTCAGTAGAATACATTTTCTTGGGCTATAATAATAAACATATGGAAATTATTTCGAGTAGTATTATTTACTTAGATCTTTAATGAATGAAAAAAAAAGTCTTCCTACTGTACATGGCTGTACCATAATCCTTTACATAAAGAACCCAATAAAATGCACCCAAGGTTTATGTTTCTTCTAGACTCCTGTTTTATACTTCCCAGAAGAAAAAGAAAAGCTCAAAAAAAGAGAAAAAGTATTACTAGCTTCATGAACAGTAAACCACCTGCAACAGAGCTTCAGCCCGTTTAGAAAGTCTGGACCATTCCCCTCAGCGCTACAGAAGAGCTAGCAACAGTTCAGAGGTGGGAGACGAAGGCTGGGGCAGGGCACTTTACAAAGACAATGGCATTACAGTAAAAAACACTGTCCACAATCATCTTACATTTTTTAATTTAAAAATATGTCGTCTCCCTTTTCCTTTCGTGGAAACTTTCTTCTCAGCAGCTGGAGCAGATTTGTACTTAGTATTTCTGAGCCGAGCCGACCTCCTGTGGATTTCCTGCTTACTCTGTTATATAAATTAGAGGACAAAAAACAGAAATAAGAAGTGTGGAAAGGTTGCTTTCCGGATACAACCATCTTACAAGTATGCACTTGATACGGCCATTCAACAATTAAGTAAGAGTGTGCCTTTTCTTTTTATGCGGGGTAATCACATGAACTGGGCTAATTAAAACAGGGAGCGCTCTAGGCAAGCATCTCCGGAGCTTCCCAAAAGGTGTGAGCTGCTTACAACAGGACAAAGAGCAGGACGGTGAGTAAGTCTATTTATTTGAATTTACAAGAGAAAACCCACTAACAACTCAACTCTCCACCGCCAGAGGACGCTCTAGGTATGCCACCGTCTGCCTTGGAATACTTGCTAATTACACAATGACAAGGTACTGTTACTCCACGCCATGAAGACAAAATACCCTTTATGGACAGGGACAAATCCAGTAGCAGGACCCTATTTACGAATCTTTGTATACGCGTGGATACTGAGATGTCCGGTTGCTACCCCAAATATTATTACAATGAGGGGATTTCCCAAGGATTTTTAATTTTTTTGCTTCTTTAGACTATACATTTCTCACAAGAAAAGGTGCTTAGAATAGGCTGCACCAGCTAAGATGTCATCAGGGGATGAGGACTACCCCGCCCGGTCTGGCAGGGACGCGGCGCTCCCGGAGGCCTGCGCCCACCCGTTGTCCGCCCGCTTCGCTCACCTGTTTGCCGCCCCCTCCCCCGTTGCTCTGCGAAGGGGTGGCCGAGGTGCTGGCGAGGGTCGCCGCACTGAAGCCGGTGCTGCCGCCGCCGCCGCCGCCGCCGCTGCCGCCCCCTGTCCCGCCGGCGGCCCCCGCGCCGGCGCCCCCGCCGCCCGCACCGCCCCTGCCCGTGCAGTGGTGGCAGAGGATCTCCCCCTGCGAGCTCTTCTTCCACATAGAGGACGACGTGGTCTTGCAGACGCTGCAGGTGGGCTTCAGGCCCAGGGGCATCGTGGCCGGCTCGGGCGGCCCCCGCGGGCGCAGCGACACGGGAATGGCGACGGCCGATCCCGGCCGCCCGAGGGCCGGCCCGCCACGTCCAGTGACAGGAAGAACAGCTGGGGCGCGGGCGCCAAGCTGTCCACGTTGGAACCAGGCCGCGGCCGCTGTCCGCTGAAGGTAGGAAGCCGCTTCTTTCCGCGGGGAGCCCAGCACCAGCCCCGGGCCACTCAACACTCTGGGAGGCGCGGCCCGGGCGGGGCCTGGCCTGGGAGGAACCAGGAGGAGCAGCCCCGAGGAGGCTTCCGGCGGTGGGCGGAGCCCGCCGTGCCGGGACCCGCCTGACCGGAAGTGTCCCACCAGGAGCGCGCTCCTTCAGTCTGCCAGTTTCTGACTTTAGAACTAGGATTGGCAAGTGAAATACAGGGTGTCCAATTAATTTGAATTTCAGATTAGCAACAAATAATTTTTTCAGTACTAGTATCCCATGCAGTATTCGTGTTTATCTGAAATTACGCTTAACCAGGCATCCTGCATTTTTGCTAATTCTGGCACGCCTACTTAAGAGCCCTTTACACTCTTAAAAATTATAATTTAGGACCCCCATGTACTTTTGTTTATATGGATTATATCCATGGACATTTATGTGTTTGGAGTTGAAATAGATATTTCAGCCTAAGAAGTCAAGCACACTTTCATTACCCATTGGGTGATGTCATATGGCCTGAAGCCTCTGAACAGGACGCCAGTGAGAGAATGAGAGTGGAAAAGGCATATAACTGGCTTGGCATTGATGGGAAACCGTTCTGACCCCACGGACTTCCTGGAAGGGTCTTGGGAACTCCCTGGACCACACTCCAGAACAGGGGCCTTAGGACAAGCTCATTATGAAAAGCCAGCTGCCTTCTGCTCAAGTCTAGTCAGTACAGGCCTGTCCAGGAAAAGGAGTTTCTCCTAAGCTTTACTTAGTAAAGTGTGGTCGCGTTCCTGTCTTGATGATTCTGAGGTTTTTGGACTTGATATTCTTGGAGAGATATTGACAAGTGTATTTTTTTGTTTGTTTTTGTTTTTTAATTTTTTCAAATATTTTATTGATTATGCTTTTACAGTTGTCCTATTTTTTCTCCTCTTTATTCCCCTCCACCCTGCAACCCCCTCCCATCAGCATTCCCCCTCCCCCTGTGTTTAGTTCATGTCCATGGGTTGTACATATACATTCTTTGGCTTCTCCATTTCCTATACTATTCTTAAACCTCCCCCTGTCTATTTTGTACGTACTACTTATGCTTCTTATTCCCTGTACCTTTTCCCCCATTCTCCCTACTCCCCCTTCCCTCTGATATCCATTTCTGTGATTTTGTTCCTGTTCTAGTTGTTTGCTTAGTTTTTGTTTTTGTTTTAGGTTCAGTTGTTGATAGTTGTGAGCTTGTTGTCATTTTATTGTTCACAATTTTTTTATCTTTTTCTTAGATAAGTTCCTTTAACATTTCATGTAATAAGGACTTGGTAATGATGAACTCCTTTAAATGTACCTTATCTGGGAAACACTTTATCTACCCTTCCATTCTAAATGATAGCTTTACTGAATAGAATAATCTTGGTTGTAGGTACTGGCTTTCATGACTTTGAATACTTCCTTCCAGACTCTTCTTGCCTCTCAGGTTTCTTTTGAGAAATCAGCTGATCGTCTTATGGGAACTCCTTTGTAGGGAACTGTCTCCTTTTCTCTTGCTGCTTTTAAGAGTCTCTCCTTATCTTTAATCTTGGGTAATGTAATTGTGACATGCCTTGGTGTGTGCTTCCTTGGGTCCAACTTCTTTGGGACTCTCTGAGCTTCCTGGATCTCCTGGAAGTCTATTTCTTTGGCCAGATTGGAGAAGTTCTCCTTCATTTTTTCAAATAATTTTCGATTTCTTGCTCTTTCTCCTCTCCTTCTGGCAACCCTATGATTTGGATGTTGAAATGTGTAAATGTCCTAGAGGTTCCTAAGCCTCTCCTCATTTTTAAAAATTTTTGTTTCTTCTTTCTGCTGCAGTTTAATGTTTATTTCTTCTTTCTGCTCCAAATTGTTGATTTGAGTCTGGTTTCCTTCCCTGCACTGTTGGTTCCCTGTATATTTTTCTTTATTTCACTTTGCATAGTCTTCACTTTTTCCTCCATCTTGCGACCATACTCAACCATTTCTGTGAGTATCCTGATTACCAGTGTTTTGAACTGTGCATTGCTTAGTTCTATTTTGGGGGCTTTGATCTGTTCTTTCATTTGGGTTATATTTCTTTATCTCAGTGCACCTGTTACTTTGGAAAGGGTGGACCCTTAGGTATTTGCCAAGGTGGAGCAACCCAGGTTGCTGTGTTCTGATGCTGTATTGGGGGGAGGGGTCCAAGAGGGAACAATGCCACTTACTGGCTCTCGGCCAGCTTTTAGTCACTTTCCCTGCTACCCACAAGCAAATTGGGCCCTTCTGGTGCTGATTCCCAAGTGGGTGGGTTTGTATACATTCTAGGACCCTGTGGGTCTTTCCCGTGAACTCTCCTGTGAGGCTGGGAGTTGCTTCTGCCACCACAACCCTCACAGGTTTTTATAGCCAGAGGGTTTGAGGATTTCTCTTCCCACACTGGAACCCTGGATTGCACGGTCTGTCTTCACTCTCCAGCTGTTCCTCCCAGTTTATCCCCACTCGAATGTGGGAATGCCTGCTCTGCCAGCTGCCACCTCGCCTGTCTGGTCCTCCAGCTGCTGCCTTGCTACATGTCCTCTCTGCATCCCGGCTGCCCATCTCTGCCCCCCCTACTGGTCTGGATGAATGTTTCTGTTTTAACTCCTTGGTTGTCGGACTTCCAGACAGTTTGATTTTCTGGCAGTTCTGTTTATTTTTTGTTTTTATTTTTTTTTTTGTCGTCCTTCTTTTGGTTATTAAAGGAGGCAAAGTATATCTACCTATGCTTCCATCTTCACCTTGACAAATGTGTTAATGATGTGGATTGAGGGGGAAGAGAGGCAAAACAAATGTGTTGAATGCCTATGATGTCATTTAGTTTTTATGACCACCCTGGAACAAGATATTATTATCCCTATTTTACTGATAACTGATCAACAGAGGAACCATGATTTGGACTAGCTGTCAGCATGGTGGCTGCTCTTGGCATCACATCCAGACTGCCCTTTGGAGCATCTTTTGGGCCTGTGCTGTGGCTTAGTTATCCTTGCTCTGAGTCTAGGTTTCCCTAATAGTAAAACAAAATATTAACTACTTTCCAGGGTTGTTAATGGGGATCAAGGCCAATTGTAAAAGTGGTTAAGGAGAATAAGTAAAGAATGTTTTCTCCTTATTTTAGAAAAATGTACTCTGTGATGGGTATCTAGGTATGAAATTTCAGGCCCTCTAATATCTCTCTCCTGGTAATGTATTCCCCTCTGTATCTCATCTTCAAGGAACAGTCTCTCTTCATTGAGAACTTTGGCCCCTGGCTCAACAGCCTCCTTTCCGCCAAAGGACACCATCCTCGCTGGGGTAAACAGCCACATGTATAATCACCCAACACTCTGTTTTCTCCATGTCTCCTCTTCTCACTGATCTCCATCTCCTGTTCTTGACAGCTCCCGTAACCTCTGGTCGCATCCTCTACCCTCTGAGATAATCAGGGAAGAACTACATTTTTTTTCCTTGTAAATTTTTTTCACAACCTTAGTATCCAACTTATCCTTGCACAACTTGATTATCATCACAAAGTAACCACACTGGGGCAACAGGATTAAGAAATAGAACCTTACGACCGTAAGAGTCCCCAACCCTCACACACACATGCCTTATATGTCGAGATAACTTCTATAATGACTTCTAACACTGTAGGTTTTATAGATTCCCTTTATCAAATTAAGGAAATTCCCTTCTATTCCTATTTTCATCACAAATGTAGAATTTATCTAATGGTTTTCTCTATGAAATGATCACAATGCTTTTTCTTCTTTATCAATTAATGTGTGGATTACACAGATTTCTGAATGTTAAATTAACAATGAAACTCCTGGAATGAATCCAGTTTGGTCATGATGTACTATTCTTTTCACATATTTCTGGATTTGGTTAACTAATATTTTAAGATTTTTGCATCTATGTTCATGAGTGAAATGGGCTTATAATCTTTTCTCGTAATATCTTTGTTGGGCTTTGGCATCAGGTTATCTCAACCAAAGTAAGGACTTTAGATTTTATTTGGAGAGAGGAAAATACTCAAGGATCTTATATGTTTTGATATGAAAAGATCTCAGGTATAATTAAGGCTGGGGGAGGGAGCCATAAATGTAACCACAGAGGCGAAAGACCTGTACACTGAAAACTCTAAGATATTAATGAAAGAAAGTGAGGAAGACACAATAAATGAAAAGCTATTCTGTACTATGGATTGAAAATATTAATATTGTTAAAGTATCCATGCTACCAAGAGGAATCTATAGACTTGATGCAATCCCTATCAAAATTCCAATGGCATTTTTCACAGAAATAGAACAAATAATCCTAAAATTTATATGGAACCACAAAAGACCCCAAATAGCCAAAGCAATCTTGAGAAAGAAGAACAAAGCTGGAGGCATCACACGCTCTCATTTCAAATTATATTATAAAACTCTAGTAATCAGAAAAGTATGGTAGTGCCATAAAAACAGACATACAGATCAATGGAACAGAAAAAATAGCCCAGAAATAAACCCATGCATATATGGTTAGTTAATTTACAACAAAGAAACCAAGAATACACAATGGGAAAAGGACAATCTTTTAGATAAATGGTGTCAGGAAAACTGGACAGCCACATGCAAAAGAATGAAACTGGACCACTATCTCCTCCTACAAATAAAAATTAACACAAGTGCACTGGCTGGTGTAGCTCAATGGATTGAACACAGGCCTGCGAACCCAAGGGTCCCTGGTTTGATTCCCAGTCAGTCACATGCCTGTGTTGTGGGCCAATAGCAGGAGCACGGGAGGCAACCGCACATTGGTGTTTCACTCCCTCTCTTTCTCCTTCCCTTCCCCGTCTCTAATAAGTAAATAAAATCCTTAAAAAAATTAACACACAATGGACTAAAGATTTGAATATTAAGACCTAAAACAATGAAACTCCTAGAAGAACACATAGGTGGTAAGCTCCTTGACATGAGTCTTTGCAATGATTTCTTTTTTAAACTGACACCAAAAGCAAACATAAATATGTGGAAATACATCAAACTAAAAAGCTTCTGC